CATCCATTGTTCCGTGTCCATTGGGAGACATGGCAGCGAAAAGTATAATAAGTGATTTATAATGGTAGATTCACAGATGTATTTCTGATGCTTGCTTTCTCATAGCTGAGATGCACTTAAAAGCATGATGCAGTGCTATCAGCTGACACTGAAACTCTACCTCTTCACTGTGTTTGATCTCCCAATGGCTTTGTTGGGCACAGATAATCAAAACCAATATTCAAGCATTTAAAGAACTAATGGGCTCCTAGCAGGAAACACGCAAATCTTTAGCAAAATGCTTCACAATCAGATGTTGCAACCATACAATGGTGAGCCTGTGTGTTCCTGAATCATGAACTACTATTTTACAGTTAAGATAAACCCTACAAAATTTCAGAAGGAGAAAAGATTCAGTGTAGATAACTCCTATGTCAGATAAATCATCCACTTTCTCTATTATAAAGCCAAGACTAGAAGGTTTTGTTTTATTTTGGAAGTATTATTTTTTCCAACTTGTTAGCATTATACAACTCATATTTCCTAAGTTAAATGTTTAATAAATTTGCAAAATACACCCCCCTCCCATTCTCTAGTACTGGGGGAACTAATTTTATGTTGCTCTAAAATTACTGTACTTGTAAGTTTTGGGTTGATAGTCCTTCAATTATTTCTTATGGTGGTTTTAATGGGGCTGCCCTTTCTAAATGGCAAATAGATGCAGTGAGTGGAATGCAACAGCTTAAGCTAAGTTGGTGTAGGTTTTTAAAATACCAGATTCTTAGCAACTTCTATTAGAATCACTGATGAACAGAACCAACAACCATACAAAGTTAAGGAAAAGGAGGAAATCAATTAATATACTGCAATTTCTGTTCTCTATCATCCTATAGGTATATTTACAGGAAGAATAGTGACCCAATGAGTGATGAACCCTTGGGACTGAGGTTTCTGGTAAAATAGTAGGTATGTTGATATTCTCTGACATAACCTAGAACTTGTTGTTGTGTGCCGTCAAGTTGTTTCTGACATATGGTGATCCTAAGGAGAATCTATCACAGGGTTTTCTTAGCAAGTTTTTTCAGAGGGGGGGTTGCCACTGCCATCCACTGATGCTGAGTGAGTGTGACTTTCCAAGGTCACCCAGTGGGTTTCCATGGCTAAGCCAGGATTCGAACCCTGGGGTCCAGAGTTATAGTCCAGTGCTCAAACCACTGTACCATACTGGCTCACAATTTATATCACAAATGCTACTATAGCGCAAATATGATGCATATGTACAGACATGGTTTGAGTACCTCTTTGGTCTTATTAACTCATATACCTTCTCCCTACCCTTTATTATTTACTTATTTGTTGAATTTATATTCTGCTTTTCTCCCAAGATGGGATTCAAAGCAGCTTACAATAATTTAAAAAGGTAATAATATTTTTTTTTATTTTAACACCCCTGAGAATGGCCTTACAAAGATTTCTTGGCTGAAATTCAGTTCGTCAATTTTTGTGTATCTCCTGAGACTCAGTCTCTATGTCCTGTGAAATCAAAAGTCACAACCAGCATAATATACCAAGGGCAGAACCTTTTTTTCTAAAATGCTATCATAGTTTTCTATTTGCAAAAAAGACATACATATTGTTCAGGTTTTCAAGATTTTACCTATGTAATGGGAGAAATCCTGTTTAAAATCTTACAGTAAACAGGAAATAAGAACTAATAAGTGGAGTACAGTTGGCCCTCCATATCCACAGATCCTTTATCCACAGATTCAAGCATCCACATCTTGAAAAAATAGCAAAAAAATATATCAATTCCAAAAAAATATATCAATTCCAATAAGCAAACTTTGATTTTGCCATTTTATATAGGAGACACCATTTTACTATGCCACTGCATTTAATGGAATGTGAGTATCCATGGATTTTGGTATCCACAGGGGCCCTGGAACCAAACCCCAGTGGATAGCAAGGGCCCACTGTATTACAAATGCTTGCAGTTTGAAATGACGTTCATTTTACCTCTTCAGCATTCTACTATTTCATTTCTCTACCTATGTATAATTCGCCTGAAAGGGACATGTAACTGAACAAATATTGTTGCCACCATCAAGTTTAACTTGGCCTTTGGCTAATATTCTCAAAATGGCAGGTATGGTTTAGCAGTGCAGAAGAGGAGCACAAACTCTGCAATCATCTTATGAGGTGTGTTCCCCAACTCACAGAGATCACCAAATTGTGGCTGCAGGTGAAGCAAGAACAGGCATCATGTTCCAGGTGCCAGAGCTTCTTCCAGAAGCAAGAGGGAACCAATCTAATGCCATCTGTAGGCCAGAAAAGGATCAGAAAAGGCCAGAAAGAATAACTAGCTCTTCCCTCTGCTGTTATCTTGGAGCTACAGGAGAAAAGAGATAGCGAGGGATCATATCTCTTCCTAAAGGAACAAGCGCAACTGCTGCTTCCTAATAACAGAACACCAGCAAAGGAAGATCAGCCTTGGTTGAACTATCTATGTTGCCCACCTATCATATCTTGCCTGATATCCTACACCACTTGTTTCCTCAACTCTCTTTTCATTGTTTATTTTCTCTTTTTAGGAAGCAAGGCTGATGCCAAGGTCTGCCTGTCCAATTTGTCCAAGGCATGCCAGTCTAATCTTATTTTTTTTAATGCAATCACAAGTTTGGTAGATGAAGGAAATGCTGTGAATGTAGTGCATCTTTAGTAAGGCCTTTGACAAGGTTCCCCATCATATTCTTGCAAAGCTAGTAAACTGTGGGCTAGACAATGCAACTGTTAAGTGGATTTGTAATTGTTTGACCGGCCAAACTCAAAGGGTGATCAGCAATGGCCCCTTTTCATCCTGAAGAGAAGTGACCAGTGGGGTGCCACAGGGTTCTATCCTGGCTCAGTGCTATTCAACATCTTTATCAATGACTTGGATTATGGAATAGAAGGAGTTCTTATAAAATTTGCAGATTGGGAGGGTATTTAATACCCCAGAGGGCAGGATCAGAATTCAAAATAACCTTAAGAGAATAAAAAAATTTAAAAAGGGGGAAATGTAAGGTACTACACTTGGGCAGAAAAAAATGAAATGCACAGATAAAGGATGGTGATACCTGGATTGACAACAGTACATGTGAAAGGGATCTACAAGTCTTAGTAGATCTCAAACTTGAACATAAATCAATAGTGTGATGCAGCAGTTAAAAATGCCAATGCAATTCTAGGTTGCATCAATAGGAATATAGTGTCAAGATCGAGAGAAGTAATAGTACCACTCTATTCTGTTTTGGTCAGATCTCACCTATATACTAACCTTATTTTCTGGCGTATAAGACTACTTTTTCACCTGCAAAATCTGGGGTTAAAGTGGGGGGGTCGTCTTATACGCCGGGTATAAGGAGGTTCATGATAGGTTTGCCTTAGTGTCATCATCAGTTTGAAATGACTTGAAGGTGCACAGCAACAACAACAACAGTTTTGGAAGTCATGCTCTTCCCAAACTCTATATTTTAACTGGAAAAGTGGGGGGGTCGTCTTATACGCCCAGTCGTCTTATACGCCGGAAAATGTGGGGTATGTCCAATTCTGGGTGCCACAATTCAAGAAGGATATTGACAAGCTGGAGCATGTCTAGAGGAGAGTGACCAAAATGGTAAAATATCTGGAAACCCTGCCTATGAGGAGCAGCTTAGGGAGCTAAGTATGTTTAGTCTGGGGAAGAGAAGACTAAGAACTGACAGGATAGCCACATTTAAATATTTGGAAGGATATCACATTGAAGATGGGGCAAACTTGTTTTCTGCTGCTAGGACATGGAGGAATGGATTCAAACTAAAGGAAAAGAGATTCCACCTAAACATTAGGAAGAGTTTCCTGACAACAAGAGCTGTTCAACAGTGAAATACACTGGCTTGGAGTGTGGTGGAGTCTCCTTTGGAGGCTTTTAAATAGAGGTCAGATGGCCATGCTTTGATTGAGCATTTCTGCATGGTGAGTGGCTGGACTGGATGGCTCTTGTGGTTTCTCAACTCTATGATTCTATGAAAAGGTCAGATAAAAAATACAGTAAACAAATAAGGATGCTTCGAAGATGTATTTCTGGATTTATTTCCCCGGTAAGAGCAGGTTGATAATCTATTATTTGATCTAGAATTTACCAACTTTCATAACTTCTGTCTTATCTGGACACAATCAATTTATTGAGCTGCTCCATCTAATTACTGCTTCCAGGCAGTGCTTCAGGGATTACAGTGCCTTATTGAGATATAACCTATCTGTCAGGAAAATAAGAATTGATATAATAGGAATACTAGCTCCTCTAAAAGGCTCTCTCATCAGTTTCATGCAGATGTCAAAAAACCACAGGACAAATGACACTTTCTGGAATCCCAGCGGGTAGTTCCCATGCTGCAAAGCAGGAGTCCTCTAAACCTCGTAACTGCTGCAATACAGTGTTTCCTATGCTCATCCATTCAAGTGGTCCAGAAGGACACCATGGCTGATGGTAATGAAAATTGGCAAATTGACATAAATTCCTTCTTCTGGAAAAGATTATCTAGTAATATGGACAATTCAGTTTCCAATCCGCAGAGAAAAATATCTTTATACAAAGATTCCCAAAACTAAATGCAGAGTAGAATTTATTTTATTAAAAAATGTAATCACAGACTAAACTTGATACTGCACTAAAATGGGTCTAAAAATTTCCAGAGGTGGGCAATTTAAGCAGTGAGTGGGCAGAATAAATTATGGGGAAATTAAGGGGAAAGAGTAATTGCTTGAAACTTAAAGTAAGTAGCGATACATTCCTGTGATTTACTTTTTAATTAGAATTCAATATTAGGAAATAAAATGAAGGCAGTACAATAAAATCTTAGATGTAATGAACAACTAAAAAAACCCTAATGGGGAGGACAGCTATGAAAGAACTAGAAAAGGTTCTAAAGAGCTAAGATATACAACTAAGCACCATAGTCAGAAACATACAAGCAGTTGTATTCCCTATTATATATGGATGTGAAAGCTGGACAATTAAGAAAATGATAAAAAGAAAATAAATTCATGTGATATGTGGTACTGGAGAAGAGTGCTGAGGATACCATGGACAGCCAAATGAGTCCTAGAACAAATCAAGCCTGAGACCTCCCTGTAGGCCAAGATGATTAAACTGAGACAGTCATACTTGGTCACATCATGAGAAGACATGACTCATTAGAAAATACAATAATGCTAGGAAAAGTGGAGGGAAGGAGAAAGAGAGGAAGACCACACACTAGATCAGGGGTAGGCAACCTTTCCCCTTTAAGGGCCGAGGGACTTCAGCTCCCAGAATCCTAGGAGCTATTGGCCAACATGGGACTATTGGCCAACATGGCTGAGGCTTCTGGGAGCTGAAGTCCCTCAGCCCTTAAGGGGGAAAGGTTGCCTACCCCTGCACTAGATGGATGGATTCAAGGAGATCACGGGTATGAATCTGCAAGAACTAAGAAAAGTAGTGGAAGATAGGGAGTCTTGGAGATGTCTCATCCACAGGGTTGCCATGAGTCGAGTTCGACTCGAGGGTAGTTATCAACAATAAATAAAGCAAGGCACTACAATTATGTTCTCAGAGCCTAATTTCAACAACTGCTTTGCAAGCCATTCAGTGTATTACTAGGATATTGATTTTTCTCTGATTAATATTCTTTGGTAATCCTTAAACAATAATGATATGTTCAACATGTTTTTTACACATAATTTTTTTTGGGGGGGTAGTCACCACATTAGTCTGCTACAGCAAAAACAACTACAGTAAGTAGTTTGTGGCACGGAATAACAAGCTTTTGGTACATGTTTGTGGACTTCAGGCCACTTCACCAACTGCTTCTGAATTATATCCAGAGGTAGCTGCATCAGCTTTACAGCAAAATACAGTAACCTCCAAAATCTACAAAACTGTAATACTTTATTAGACCAATGAAAAATGCACAAACTACACAATGAAACTTTTGAAGCTCCAAAAGGCCCTTGAGAAAGGGACAGGTAGCCTCGCCCAGGACAGAAACAGCCTGGATCTCAAGGGAAGTTACTTTTTCTGTTGCTAATGGAGTTGAAATTTTATTTCCTGGATTCTACTACTCTTTGTCTCCCAGTGTCCAAATGGCGAAAGAGGGAAGTTGTCTCTGCCTGCATTGATATTCCTCCAGACCATCTTAACTGACAATGACAAAAACAACATCTTGACAAA